CTGGACTTGGATTTATTTCATGCCTGAAAACAGGCCACGCCTTCCTCATCAGTATGAAGACATTGCTCGGGAGGCGTATTTGGTTGTGATGGTTCCAAATGATGTGGCCTTTAGTTGCCTTCCCCTTTAATCAGTTGCCAAGACATCAGATTATGTCAAGGTATCAGCAGATATTGAAGATCAACTGAATTGGACTCGTGTGCAAAAAAAATGTGATAAGGACATCCCTAGTCATTTGGCTTTAGCCTGTTTTTATTTCTGAGTTGTGAAGCTTCTGACAACATCTATACCCACTGTGAAACTGGTATGGGCGGGTTATTGACATAACTAAAATTCCACACTTGTCATCATGTCGGATCGGCACACCCACCAAGCTGCGAGTGCTCACCAATCACATGTTGGGCCGCAGCAGTGACTTGCAAAACTAGCATCATCAAAGCATACCGGTTTGGCCAGTTATGTTTTTGTTGCGCTTTGTATTTCTTATGGGGCAACAGAAACCCAGCTCAGTCAGAGTTCAAGATATTTGACGTACAATGCTTCTTGAATTTTGTTAAATATCATCTCCCCGACACATTTGCAAGGAGTATGATTCACAGCGACAAATAGATACATCGTAGTGATCGTTCACATGAAGCTGTTTTTCCTATATTCTAAATACCAATTATCACTGGGCCACTTAAGAGAAATGTTGGCCAGATGGCCAAGTATTCTGCTAAATCTCTTTAGCATGGGTCTGCGGATTAAGTCTCTTTTTTTCCGCCACAAATCTAAAAGATTTTATCTTGATTTCTAAAGACAATGACATCCCTTCATATATCTACAGCCAGTAACACACATAATTTACTTTGACTAGTTTCTGCAACATAATTTCACATAAAGTTAGAAAAATAGCACAATTGCCTCGCCCCTTATTAACTTGCACTCACAATATGAAAAAATACCAATTTGCTTGCGAAAACTTTGGGTTTTTTTTTCTTCACGTCTGTGTATATTCTTGATCATTCAGGTCAAGGGTCAATTGTTTGTCAAATGTATTGTGTTTTCTTCTCGTTTTCCGAAAATGTAAAGGATTGACTTAAAAATACACAAACTTGCAACTTGGAAACTCGCCATAGTAAAGATAATTGCACGAAGGAATGAAGTCACCCACACTGAAAATACAGCAAAACAGAAACCAATACATTCTCTTGATTAGTGTCGGCTCGTCAATTTAAGTTTTTACATTGATGTTCCAAAATCAGTTGACGCCAAGTTGGTTAACATGCTCCTGTCTGCGACTTTTCACGTGCAAACACGATTTATCATGAGTTCGTCGTTCCATATTTGACGTTTTTGATCCAACCAGTTAGCTCGGGGCTAACGTAGACTTGCCATTAAAAACTGTGGCAACAAGCTAGCTAGCGGCTAAGTAAAGTTTTAAAAAAATCATCGCGCTCTTACCTGGCTGGCTTTGTAAAATTGCTTCCTAATCCCAGCGACGGACATCGTGCACGTTCTGTTTTGTCCACTGGACTTCACTAAGGAGAAATCTTGAATGCGGGACAAACGCAAGCTGTGGTGAAAGCTCTAAACAGCAAGGAGCGAGGAAGCAAGCACCACGTCTTCAAATTTTGGACGGCAGATGTGGAACTTAAAAAAAAAAAAAAAAACTCGCTTCAGCTCCTTGGCGACCACAGCTTCCTGGCTCCAGCTTGTTGTGGGAGGCTCCGGGACCGTCGAAGTGGGTCAACTGCTGACGTGTTCTCAGGTTCGGCTCAGGTTCGTCTTTCAATCGTCTAACTTTATAATTGGTATCACATTCATTCCTTACACAAACACTTGAACTGGGTTCATCGCCGAATCCGAACCCTTTGTTTTGGACCATCAACCAAATGGTTAGAATACGTGGAGATATATATCAGTACTCAAACAGGATGCTGCAGCGACCGTAAATCTGATCAATGAACGTTTGATATGGATATCATTATTAATTGACATGACCGTGAATAATTTTGGACAGTTTCCGTAGGATTCGAAAGCGTATCAAAACTTTTGACTACTAACGTATGTTTGCACCGAAATGATTTTCGAATGAATCTAAATTGCACAACAACATTTACAGGTGAACTTTTTTTTTTTTTTGCCTTTCCTGCTGACACCGCTAGGTGGTAAACGTTACAGCACAATGAAGAAGATTGTTCAAATAACAATTCTAATTAAAAGTTTAAATATATTTGCCCGTTCATAAATTAATAACTGGCCCATCAGGGTGTCTCATTCGATCCATGGGCATGATTGATTCTTGCACTTAAACAAATGACCTGCCAATTTTCAATAAAAGCAACTGTTGTTTCTAATTCAGTCCACTGGAGGTCACAAGAACGAATGATGAACAAAGATACCTGATACCTCTCACAGCCCAGTGGTTAGAATGACGGTTCTATTTAAAATTACATTGACTTGACAGACATTTCTAAAGAAGAAACCATTTATTACATTCTTAAAACCACATATAATGTATCCCATTGGACAACAATATATATTGAGCTGTGTGACTCACTTAGTCTTGAACTAGTAGTATATCTCTTGTACATTTTTTTTCTTACAAGGAAAGAAAAGGGAGACAATAGTCTTTTTATGGACTTTTCCCAATCATTTGCCAATTAAATAAAACGATTACTGACTGTAAAGGCCAAAAGTGGAGACATGTAAAGAAAGTGGATAAGCGACAAATAAGTGAAGATCACAGCAAAAGGAAAAAAAATAAAACATTAAACTCCAAGAATGGAATTGATCTTTAAAACGAATTTGTTTGTGTTCCTATGTAAATGCTCATAAATTTAAAGTTACAATATAAGGACAAACGGGAAGGGGTCCGGGCAGTTTGTGAGCAACATTCACAAAAGTAGAACTTTTACGTCCACAGTGATTATGGTGGTGGGGTGCAAAGGCGTGAGGAGTACGAGGCTGGTCATAGAAGGGACAAGAGATCACAGCTAGCTCCCTGAGTGGCAGGCGGCAGGCCCAAAAACTTCCCAGCACCCCAAGTAAGTAAGACATGTTCACCTCAAATGCTAAAACAACCTCCGGAAGTTGACTTTTTGTTCAAGTGAAACACACCGAAACTTTGAAGGATCTTGCGTGACCTGACCGAAAAACAAAAACGATAAACAAGAAAGTCTTACAGGCTTTGAGGCCCAACTCAGGGGGGCAGCTGATAGCTCCGTCTGGCATTAGACTAGTGTCCAGTGAGAAACGGGGGGCATTGTAAGTGCTTTTTATTCAAACAAGTGTTGGGACTAAAAGTGGAAAGAACAGCATTTCTACAAATAATACAGTTGCTCCAACCAGTAAGGAAGGGGTTATGATACAAATTGTGGACCGTCAGGTACCTGAACAAGTGCGACCACATAAGTGATTGAATGAAACTACACCTGACTGCTGGTTAGAAACAGATTGACGGGGGGGGTGACACCGTGTATCCCCTCGTCTAAAGTTCATAAAGTGTGGCTTGCTTGATCTTTTCCTTTCGAGTCCCGTTTGTCCTCCTTTTGTTTCTCCGGGCGAGGGCACGGTCATCAACATCAGAGCTCAGTTTAAATGCCCAACAAAGGCAATTTGTTTCCTCCGTCGGACGGACACGCTGCCCCTGTTTGCATCTGTACAACAAGTGTCTGTTCACCCACTTAGTGGGTTTGTTGTCATGGGGGTGCGGGGAAAGGGTGCTGGGCGTTGTCATGGAAACCTGAGAGTACTATATAGAGAGGAAAATAGTCCAGAGTCCGAATATCAACTTCCTTGGTGTGCATCTCACTTTTCTCTCCCTTTCGTTCTGAACTAATCTCACACGCTCCTAACACTCTCCGCAGTCGCGCATAAGTCATCTATTTACACTCTTATTTAAAATATTTGTATATAAATGTGTATATAAATTAAAGATAATTTCATCTTGCCCTGTCTCTTAAGTGGCATTTGCAAGGAAAAGGGACGCGTGGGACTGAGGTTTCTCAAGGGCCTACTCAAGGCAGCACCGAACGCAGGCGAAATGTGAGAGAAGCGGCTCGAGGAGGTGAACTTGTTTTTTTGTTGTTGTTGTTGAGTTTTTTTCTTTTTTGTATAAAATGACTTGCGATCTTGGTCCCTAAGTGTCAGTATACGAATAGGGTGGTTTTAGTACGAATATGCGTACATACATACCATACCGAGGGATCAATATTGACTGAAATCTTCTTTCTATGACCATGTATGAAACCGTCTAAGTGCGACAGGGTTATACATTCACCGTTGAGTCGTTGCTTGTGCACTGGTGCTTGTCGAGGTACATTCATTACTGGTTGGGCGATCCGCCGCGGATCAGACGTTACGCAAGTTTTCAAAACTTGTATCCGCCTCATGCATCTGCTTGTCGGTGCTGCTACAATACGCAGAGGAGCATGAGCGTGCATGGTCTGTAGTGTAAGGTGCTTTGCCTGCTCGGAAAGTGGAGGGCTACTTTGGAATCACGGGAGACGGAGTATTTTAAGTCCTGGATTGTCTTATAACTGCTGGTTGTTGAACATCAACATATTTTATCCTACTCTGTCTCTCCTTTTCCCTTCCGCTAAATACACTCCCTCCATCTCTCTCTGTCAGTCGGTCAGTCTTTCTGTCAGTCGGTCCATCGTGTCTAGCTGTTGGTGGAGTCGGGCAGGGAAATGTCGGTTCCAAACACCTCCCGGTACAGCGGAGGGAAACTGTATGCGGTCTCCGGGTGGACCAAACGGAAAAACTCCAGTTTGTCAATGTGGAGGTGACAAATAGATTTCATGATGGGTAGTTTGGACAGCATCTGCGGATGATTGAAGAGATATGGGTGAGCATTTTTCTGCTGACGTCAGCATTTGCTCATGAAGCGTCGTGGCGGCCTCCTTTTACCTTGTCCAGTTTCTCCTCAGAAGCACTCTTAAGAAGGCTGTGCTGCAGAGCCAGGTAAACTTGTTCCTGAAGCTTCTGAACCTTTTGGCCGTCCATCAGCCACGGCCGATCTGGAAAAATCACAAAAATGGCACATTAGGTGAAAGCGTCATGAGTTTTGCTGAGCCAGCGAGTCATTTTATTGAATACAGTAAATCAAATCCGTACTCTGAATGCCAAAAAGAACCGTGAGTAATTGACTCCACTTCCAAAATGTGAGATAATTACCTTTACAGTGGTGTTGTGAGATACCAGCGACACAAATTATGCATTTTCAAAATACGACATACTACCAGGCCAAGCTAAATTTAGCTCCTCCCTGACACCTCAACTTGTCTCAGTCGTGACGGACCTATTTCGACAAGCCATTGGCAGAGTTTTGCGGCATCTTGTGGCATTTCAGAACGAGCACAAAACCCACAAACTGGTAGGTAAATTTTTCAGCAACTAGTCGGTGTTATGTTCCACCGAAATACTCGCAAATAGGTTAATTTGCGAGTAGTATACCGTGGATATGTGAGAGGATCAATGTACAGCACATACGGTGATGATGCAGCACATTTGTCCAGCCGAAGGAGTGAATTTGAAATGACTCCCACAAAATACATAAAGAAGAATAATAGTCACCAGGGGAGAGAAGAACAGCCGCGCTAAACAAAGCCACCTCTTCATCAGACAGCTGGAGGCGGCAGAGTCCTTTGCCCAGTTCAAATACTGCACTCACCAGGTCATCACAACCTGAATAAACACATAGTGAAAGTCATTGAATTACTTGATGCCGTGTCAAAGGGCTAAGTTAATTTTTGAAGACGGCCTCCATTTTACGATCGTAGTGTATTGCTCTCTCTCTCTCTCTCTCTCTCTCTCTCTCTCTCTCTCTCTCTCTCTCTCTCTCTCTCTCTCTATGTGTATATGTATAAAACCATAATGTCTATAACGCACTTGTCTATGAAGACATTTTGAGGTCCAAGAATCTCTGCTTCTTAAGGTAGCACTGACATACAGCATATGTTTTTACTTTTTTTTTCCTTTGGCAATCCAACAGTCATGCAATTCCATTTTAAACCAGAAGAGGCAGTGTTGAGTCACTAAGTATCTGGCTTCAGTTTTGGATGAGGGAGCGACAGTCAGGTCCAGAAATATTTGGACATTGACTGATTGACACCATTTTCAGCGTTCCAGCCCCGTAGAACACCACAATCGATTTGGAATGAAACAATCAAGATGTGCTTTAAGTGCAGATTCTGTTTAGTTGTGTGTCTTTTTTACAATTCAAGTTAGGTTCACCGACAGCAGAATGAGCTAATTGGTATGCGTGGGCTAATTATTGCGTTGCTTTTAAAAACGCCCCCGTATTATATTTACAACCTCTGGTACCTATATGAGGTGACACATGTTTCTGTGTGAACGTTAGTGCTCTCCTCCATCTTCTTGCGCTTAACCCTTAGCACTGCTTCAAGTATGTACGTTGACTTTCCGCTTGCTCCTGTTGTATCTTGATGTAGACAGGATTGATTTTTAGGATAAATTAAACGCTTTTGATGAAAGCATACTGAGAAAACATTTGGATTTAGTGTTGGCTTTTGGAAATGATAAGCATAGGATACAACGGGTGTGTGGACGTCAATGTTGTGGAGCTTTTGAAAAGGTAATACAATCCTCATGTGATGCTCACCAAGCGCTTTGAAGAACTGAGGCGAGGCAAATTTTCCATTGAAGAAAATGCTGCTGTTGTTGACGTTAAAAGCCCGGCACATCCGAATCAGCAGGACCTCCAGGCATCCTGAAAGCGTAGCCATAGTGGCAAAGATATGGAGAAGTGCACGAGGAGGGAGTTGGACGGGGATTCACAGAGGGGCCGAAAATACTCCAACATGAACACACGGACACGCGTAAATTTGGTTTCAGATTAATATGCATCATATGTGACAAACATATATTCATAAATGTATGTTTTAAAAAGTTCAATTTTACAGAACATAAACCCATTGTCATGTTTTTCCCATATATATTAAATAGGTATATATATTTATATGAAGAAAATTTGTTACACATTTTCCAGAATAATGTTTTTTTTTCTCCCCATTGTCCAAAGAAATGGGGCAAAAGAAGGAAGAGAAGGAGACAAAAAACAAGAAGGAACTCAAGTTAGCAAGTTTTAGATTCCTGTTTACTCGCGTAGAAAACTCTGTGACCTATGATTTCTAAATATACCCGTTGTGGACTGTACACTGACCTGCTTTCAGCAATATAATCTGGTCATTCTGGCAAAGATCCATAAATCCAGCGATTCGTTTGGCAAACTCCACCACGTATTGGATGGCATTTGTAATGTGGTGTGCGCACTCCTGCCACATCCACTCAGCTGACTGATCAACAGAAAAATGGACTTGTTTAGAGTGGTTTCATCAGTCAAATGTAGTTTGTCTGGAACATCACCCTAACCACTTGAACAGAGGCAGTTTGTGGCTTTATCTGAATAGTTAAATCTGTTACTGAGCTCTTCTTGTATTCTCACGGGACACAAAGGAATGCAAGTGCATAATAGTTGGGGGGATAATATGTACCTTGTTCTGAAAAGCACGCGTTTCCTCAGGTGTGTATTGAACCAAGTTGAATCTCTTCATGTCCTCAGCGCTGTACTGACATGTCTCCATGTGAGACTTCACAATACATTGCGAGATTCGCTCTGCAAGACAAATACAACAACCGGGGGAAACATATTCATCACTCAAAGGATTTGGAACATGAGTCAAACATTTGAGAGCTCGACAACCTGATTTGGTTTACCAATCTAAAAATCATGGCGCCGTGACCTTGCATCACTGGTTTCTTGTTTCCTAATCTTTCAGTTATACATTTTTAATTTTTTTTTGAAACAAGCAGTTGAGTGGTGTGCAAATGACAACACAAGCCAAAGCCAGGCCGTTCTATGAAGGTATTAGAATATCGGAAAAGAAGGCGTCCCTCAAGGCTCTGTGCTGGGACCATTATTATTCACTACATAAATAATATTTTACTTTAATTTACATCAAATTTGTTTCATTTCTATGCAGATGACAATGCCATATACCCAACTCAGCTGGGCTTTATTCCCCTATTTCCCGCACTATAAGGCACACCTAAACCTATTCCATTTTCTCAAAAGCCGACAGTGCGCCTTATAACCCGATGCGCCGTATATATGGATCCGTATTCTGGTTTCTTGGACGTGGTATTTTAAATATTCTGTCAAGCACTTTGTGACAGCTGCAGCGGTGGTGAAAGCTCGAGATAAATAAAGCTGTCTTGTATTGTATTGTATTCCCTTTCCAATACGTTCCATTTTATTATTTCTTGGCTTGGAGTTCATTGGCTTGGCATCCGACCAACAATTTGGATAACAAACCACAATAGATTTCAAAACCACGATCTCGTAAATCATGCGCATCGCGGCATCATTGCCCTTAAAAGTGATCATATTTGCTTTTATTTACATTTTAAATCATAAATATGATCCCAAAACATTTTCACGGTTTGTGTTTGACGCGGGTGTAATCCAACGGCGAGGCGCATCGCACGATGCAAGCTTTTATTCGTAACTTAAGGCAACCCAAGAAGACATCCTGTCGCTGGTAAAATCAGCAGAGTATTCACACGATACAATCAACGATGACATTTGCAAAAGAAGTGCTTTTGGCTCCGGAAAAGTTCCCCAATGAGCTTTCTTTTGACTATCAATGCATTTTATTTTTTTTGGTCACTTCTTCAATTCCGCATCGGTAAGAGTTGTGGTCGTGTGGCATGTCACAACTCACCAAGGTCTGTTATTGAGCAGTCATCGGGCAACTGGTCCAGCAGCGCGTGTGTGTCTCCAAGCAGGGGATGCGTGAGAGAATGTGTGTGCAGGAGCTGGATGCCACTGTTGTCAGACCCATCTATCGTCTGCTGCGGGGAATTTTGATTGGACGGGGATGACGAAGAGGAAGAAGCGGATGATGAGTTGGAGGTATTTCCTGTGCTGGTCCCTCCGCTTCCGCCCAGTAGCTCCAGGCTGCAGTACTCGCTGGCCTCCTCGGGGGTCAGCGGTAGGTCAAATAGGTCGGGAAGTGCCGCGATGTCATCGAGGTCGCTGAGGGTGGAGCTGGAGCCCCCGGTGCTGTAGGAACGGCTCAAACCTCCCTCGCCGTCCTCTCCGCTCCCGCCACATGCACCGTCCTCCCTGGGTAAGGAGAGCGTTGTCGAGACCCCGTCTCCGGAGCCCACGCACTCCTGGGATTTCTGATGCTTCTGCACCTCAGCGTACAGGCTGTCGCGCTGCTTTTTGGACATGCGACCAAACTTCACCGCTGTGGAGAGTAAATCCATTTGGGTCATTGGATCATGAAACCTCATACGTTATTTACTGTCACTCATCCAGCACTGTGGATGTTTACATTCGTTAACTGGAGTACAATTGTTTACTGCCAGCAGGTATATTTGTTGAGTAGGTTTTTCACCGGGTAGGTGTGGAAGAGGAGATTTAGGTTTGTAAACCACCGCAATCACTGCACGTGGTGGCGCCGCATCACTTTACGTTTGAGATCAGCACAGCTTTTGAGTAGAAGCTAAAGATCAGGGGGTGAGTCAGAAATTGCCACTTGGATTATGAGAGCGAAATATCACCTAGCATTTGAGGATGTATATGTAAGGTACAAAGAGAATATGTTATATGGTTAGGTAGTCGAATGTCTTTGCCACAATCATGAAAAAAGATGATGCATTTCATGGAGTGAATGATGAACAGCATGTAAAAAAGCAGACTGACGTTCAACTCGAGGCATGCCGTGAGTCGGCGCACTTCATAGTTGCATATGTGTGAATTTATTCAGATTTTGACATCAAAAGCGCTTTGTCAGTCTTGTTTTATCTTTGTTTTATCGTTTGAGGTGTCGCAAAAGGACAAAAAAAAAGAGTAGCGCGTAGCTTGTTTTCATTGTTTTTTGCGTCAGAAACTGATGCCTTTGGTGAAACCAACCAATGTTCTAATAATGATTTAAAAAAAAAACAGAAAAAGATTGAACTTTTTCCTGGTGAAAGAAACGAGTCTACTCTTTGTTTTGGTACGTTCGGCGCCTATTTTGTGACGGAACACAATATTCTGTGGGTCTTGACAGATCACTCAAAATGCTCTCAAACATCTGGCAATATGGGGAACTCTGCTTTGGAAAAATGATTGATCCACTGTGGGCATGTATTGATTATAAAATGAGATACTTGAATGAAACACACACCATATCATCGTGTCATCTAATTTGTCAAACTGGCATTTAAAAATTGTATATTTTGGGTGACAGTTCGTCTTCATTCACCTTCATTCACAGTCGTACGTAGAATTAAATAAATCAAGTATCTTACACGGTGAACAACATGTGACATCCAGCAAACGTGTCTTACAGCACGTACGATTTGTACGGCGCAGTATAAAGTTCTCCATTTTATTGCTCTACACGATAACAGTTTTGGACTCGGGACCTCCAAGTAGTACTGTATGTTCCAGCTTTGATATCTAGTTTCCTCCATGACAATTCTACACTGGATTCGTTTTCTCTCCGCAGCCCAAAAGAGAGTAGGACGCAAGTTTTGAGGCATCTCCCCAACAGCTGAAGTGCAACATTAACACCGAGGGCTTCAGATTCACATGGTATCAACTGAGCGGAATGTGTGACACTGCTACGCCACTTTATTTAAGTCTCGATTAAAAACCTCACAGCTGCGACACATTTGGATTAGGCCACACAAGGGTAATCATGAAAAGAACATGTGGAGGTGTGCAAAAGGAGTAAATTCCGTTTACCATCTCGGCTCATGCCCAAAGCCAGACACTTCTGCAGACGACAGTGCTGGCAGCGGTTGCGGTTCGTTCGGTCGATCAAACAGTTCCTCTGGCGCGAGCACGAGTACATGGCGTTGTTTTGCTGGCTGCGACGGAAGAACCCCTACAAGGGACGCACCGATAAGCACCCAGTGGACGCATGCACATTTGAGGTCCGACAAATACATTGAAGCATCTCTTGTGTTCCTTTCTTACCTTGCAGCCTTCACAGGTGATGACCCCATAGTGGATCCCCGAGGACTTGTCCCCGCAGATTTTACAGGGGATGACCTCAATTTGAGCTGCAGGACCAAAACCAAAATTGAGCAGGTCAGAACAAAACCGTGCGGTCATTCCGAAAATAGATTTGACAATGGAAAGGAAACAAGAGACCATTGGTTCCCGAATTGCTGCCAACACTAAAATAGTTGACGCATTTAGTCCGACCTAAAACACACGATCAGCTGGCTTCTGTTAGCATACTTGCTGATTCGGAGCGTGTCGATTGTCCAAGTTGTGTTTTTTTCTCATCTTTTAACCCACGGGTGTCAAACTCAAGGCCTGGGGGCCAGATCTGGCCCGCCACATTATTTTATGTGGCCGGCGAAAGCAGATCATGTGTGTCAACTTCCAAATTTTGTAATCATTTTGTTCCTCTGACAGCGGTTACTACAGTGGAGAGCTTATCGTGTTACCAGGTTACAGGGTGCATGAAAGTGATAAACGAGAAGATACTCTGCCACTCCCTTGTGAGAGACTTTGAGCAGATTTCAACAAAACCAAGGCCTTCCTTTAGGACACTTGCTCATGTTTCATCAAACGTCCCGAATAACACGTGAGCCCCGACGGAAAGTCTTTTCTGTACTCGGACGAGCAGCTTTTCTATTGCTTTATGATGGCGGTTGTGAACTTTGCCTGTCTTTTAGCGCAGTTCATCCGCACAGCGCTGCCTTGTTGTCCTCGGTTGTAAATCTCAACCAAAATAATATCCATTGTGTCGTCCGTTGACCTAGAAACGGCGAGCCGTGGCCTTATCTTGTCGCAGTTAGGCGGCTGTAATTCTTTGTGCTCTGAATCAAATGGTGACGCTTCACCTCCAACTGACACAAAGTGCAAAGTGTTTTTGTTGAAAGTCTGACGTTTGGTCTTTAAGAGCAAAATAGTTCTCAAACTCACCTTTGAGTTTAGCTTGAGACCTAGTTTGAAAAGAAACATAAACCTGCACATCATTTATGAATAGGACTAAATGATTTATTTTGCATATTTATGTTGTTTTTGACATTTGTAATATAAAAAGGAGATGATTGAGCGGTAACGGAAACTAACGCAAATAAACTCGGTCTTGTGAAAAAAAGGAACTGGAACGTCTCACATCGTGTGCACACAAAAAGACTCGGAGAAGCGAACTTGCCTTCAACTGTGTTTGTCTGCACCCTGCATGAGGCCCCCCACAAAGGAACAGATTGCACAAACAGATAAGGGGATCACATGACTGTTGCACACTGAGATGAACAAAGAGTCTTTCTGTCCCATCGGAGGCAAAACAACAACATCATAAGATGTTTGTTGGTGTGGGTTATTCATTTATTTTTGGATCTCAGAGCTCTTGAGTTTTGTCTGATCCACATTCATTGAGTCATGTCGACTCTTACTTTGAAAGGCAACTTCCCACCACGGATACAAACTCTGTGACCCGCTCGGCTCTGAAGCTCTTAGACTAAAATACTGTACTCCAAACGATCGGGGCAGCTGCCGGCATGCAATGGAAAGAAAAAAAACAAAAAAAAACCCTCCACCCTCTTCCTTCGAGGCTTTCCTCTCCCCCTCCCTCCCCCCCATCTCTTGATTATATAACTCTCATCTGTGAGCATTCCTCACAACACTCATTCAGCCGGCTCACTCTAGCAACATGTCAGCGATCCGCCCTCGCCGGATTCTCGCGATCCCCACTGGCTGGGCTGTGACGGCAGCTTGCCTGGTATTGGCTGAGTCAGCCGTCGCTTGGTTGCTGTAGCCTGTCAGCCCATGTGGACATTTTGTGTCCCACTGACACACTTTCCCACTGCATGGGGAGGGGGAGGAAGGAGGGAAAAGCAGCACTGTGCTCCGCAGACCAGTTTTAAGGTGGAGCTCAACAAAGCGCCATGAAAAAAAAAATCTTTCCTTAAAGCCTGGAGCTTGCATCAGAAAAATGAGGTTGCGTAACAGTAAAATTAAACCCTCTGAGTAATAACAACAATACCGGAGAAACTGCATTTTCCAGTTCTGTCTTGAAAGACGAAAGAAATAAACATCGTGTTTTATTACTGATACACGCATGTTTAAAATGATCGAGCTACCGTATGTGGCTACAGTAACCTGGATGCCGTCCGTCTCTTTGGTTTCCCATCCGTCTGCTCTGCCTTTGACAGTGAGCTTCGGTACAGCCACGTCTATTCTTATCCCCCCGCTAAGAGCCAGAAATACAGTACAGATGTCCATACAGCCACCCACCCTCAATGTTGCAGCCTCACAGGCATGTCTCTAATCTCTTGACCAAAGATGGTATCACAGTATGTACCGTCGAAGTCCAGTGTGAGCATATAGCGAAATGGCAAGATAAGAAACGGTCAAAGCCAAACCCGATAGTAAAGTAACAGAGGAAAAAGTTATGTTGACATTCATTTTTCCATCACTTTTTCAAGACACGGGGGCACTAGACATGTTCCACTTAAGGCAACGTTTACTCGGAAAGACAAGCCTGTTAAAAAAAAAAAAAAGAGAGAGAGAGCTAAAGAAACCAGAAGAAACAGTTGATGTGGTTCTCAGCCAGTTAAATGTCTGAGCTTGTTATCATGTGTCGGAAAGGCCAATTCCCTTGAAGTGGGGAAAAGCAACTTTAGTCTCCTAACATTTTGTTCCAGGTATCTTATGTGGAACAGATTGCCAGTCATGTAATTGCACAACAAGCGTCTGTAGGCCAGTGTGTCAAACAGGTAGCGTGTCAGTGTGTCGGAAAGGGAAAAATAAATGTCGACTTTCCACATGCTCCCCCTTGTGTGCATGGTCACACGCATGTCAACGTACGTGACGAATGTCAATACTCTCACAGCCAGTTTCGATACAAGTACAAGCTGTTCTAGTTAGCGCGCCGTAATATGAGCACAGCTCGATCGCCCTTCGGCAACACTTGGTGGAAGCCGCTGTTCTGCGTTTTTTCTTTTTTTTTTTTTTAATTAGCTCATTTCAAACTGAATAATAATCTTCACCCCATTGCTTGATGTGTTGTAATACCCTTGTCTATTTGCAGTATGCATACACTTTGAGAGCAAATGAGCCAAATGAAGCCTTGTTGTAACTTGCTCGCTACTAATTAGAAGGGATGACAGCATGGGGTTTCATTCCGTGGGTTTCAGCAACGCTGATTGCGTCATGTGGCGCGGCGGGGTGCCAGATGATGGTGCAGCACATGCAGTCATATTGCAACAACCTTCTGCCGTAACACTGTCCATTATATTACATCGAGCCATGTTGCATGCATTCCTCCCGTCATTTTACTTTCGCTGATGTGGTATAGCACTATGCCGTTGCGTGCAATCCTGAGATTTTGAGGGCTTTTTAAATGGCGATGCTCTCTTTAAAAACATCAGTGAATCTGAGGCGGGGGGTGGGGGGTGACTCTGTCAAATGTGATGCTCTACTTTTTCTCTTTGTAATCAATACACCTTTCACTTTAAAATAGAGTACCAGACGAAATGTACCATCTGGACAAAGGCTGTAATTTAATGTCGGCATGCTAACGATGGACTCCTAATCATTTAGATCTGGAGTGCCAAAATCCAGTCTTTGAGAGCCCGAGAACGATCCCGATTCGATTTGGGCACCCCTGATTGAGAGGAAAATAACTGTAATATAGCAGTTACATACTGTACATGTAAATAGTTTTTCTGTGGGGAACAGATCAAGAGACTCAGTAAGGGTTCTGATTTGTTTACAGTTGGATATCCTGCTCCAAAACGGGAACCTCCCACCACCAGGGGCTTTCTTAGCTTCTTCCTCACACCCTCCACTCGTTTACTGTACTTCCTGTGACAAAAACAACTACTGCACAGTGCAAGGTACTGTAATCTATTTGTGGGGGAACCAAGTGAATATCCCCCCTAAAACTTCTCAAAATGACCTACAGAAATAGTTTCAAGCATAACTATACCACAAACTAAAAACAGTTCAATGCATTTGCAAACTCATTTTACAACATTAACTTAAAAATAAGTGGCTTACAAAGGATTTGATTTCAAAAACATGCAGAAGTGCACACACACACACACACACACACACACACACACACACACACACACACACACACACACACACACACAAGTGCGTGTGTTCATGCAGATTTGACTCTCATAAGTTCCACTAATGACCCAGGCAAAATTCAGCTCCTCCTCGACATCTTTCAGTTGAGATGTATCACTTCAACATACTTCCTTGACACCAATTCCATTTTAGGGAGGGCTTGTTGGCATCTTGTGGCTTTTTAGGGTGTTTCAAAATTATTATTATTTTTTGCATCTAGGTGGGTTTAGGGTGAATGGGTCGGGGGAATGTGATTAGGTGAATTTGTGAATGTGCGGGGGGTTCACTGTACTCTGCCATGCTGTGGAAAAATAATAATAATCGTAGCACATATCATTAGTCCATGTGAATGCCAAATCATTTAGATAATTCGCATTTTTTGCATTCATTTGATTATCAAATTATATTTTCATTAAACCAAATTGCTTAGGGTGCATACATTCTAATATTAACTTAAATTCGCGAACAGGATTCGTAATTAAAGTATCTCGCTATCAACGTGAACCATTCTAAAGGTTCAGTGGCTGTTACTGTCGGGTGGAATGTACAGATGTTAATCATATGCTGCGCTGTCGAGGTCTTAGCCCGGCCAAGTTCAAGTTCATTCCGCAGTGGCGCTTGTGAAGAGTCAAGTTGAAGTGCAAGGGCAACTGTCAGTGTGCTTTTATGCACATGGCCTGCAGGCAGGCAGGCAGGCAGGCAGGCGCTTCCCTCAGCCGCCCCCACCCCCCTCTGCTGCGCATGCTGTGTAACGTTGGGTGACATAACTAGGTCAGTGGAACAGCCAGGTCCCTCTCCCTCTGTACAGTCACACGGCCGGCCATGCTGGCACGGCCATGCCAGCTCGACGACATCCCAATCAGCCTGCTAAAATGGCACGCCAAATAATTCAACATTTTCTTGTCTTTCTTTTTTAATCATAACGGTCGAAAAACCCCGTTTCGTTTTCATCTGCAGCGTCTTTCCGTTGCTCACAACCAGATGTATGTGGCACTTGTTAAAAGAGTTCGATGATAAACTAATGCGCAGTATTCTACTCTGGGATTGACACAATTAAAGTATATAAATACGAACATCTCGATTACATAATTGTAGTTTTGGGTAACAACAATCTCGTCTCAAGCCCCTCCCATCTTCGTATTGCATAACACAAACATGGAACCCAAACCAAAATGCACAGATGGTCTCCAGAGTGATAGATGTCATGAAATTCTTCTTCTCGTTATTATCACCCCCCCGCACCCCCTCTCCCACCAAAAAAGACAAATACCCAAACTATTCAATTGTTCAAGTAATCTGTACAATATTAAAAAATTCCAAACAAAATCCTCATATTTTATGGTTTAAATTCATTTATTGGAACCCCCGCTGCAAGTAAAGTAAGCACAGCACTGCGGTCTTGAGTCATAATCCTGTCATGGGGGCGACTTAATGCGCACTTGGTCGCAAAAACGGGCGCACCGCGAGGGTCTGTGCGCGCACATGTGGCACGCAACTCCTTCGGCGTGCTCCTTCCTGACGGTAAAAACGCGCCGCCAAGTTTGCGGCAAACACGCACGACGCGACGCGACGCGACTCAACTTGAACGCACTCACCTCTCATTTTGACGCGTTCTTCTTCTTAACCGCTCGAGGAGAAGGAAGCTCGGCTACATTTGGCTGCGCTGCAGGTGACTTAACCAGAAAGAAGTGGCTGTGTAAATAATAACGACGAGACGAAAAGACGAGGAGGGGGAAAAAAAAAAAACACCCCGATTGTCCTCTATGATTCGTGGAAGTCCGAGCGAAATAAAACAAGGAAGAAAGTCGCTTTGGATTGCATCCTAAACGCCCTTGCGAACGGCGTGCTGTTTGGCTCGAATAGTCCTCACGGTGTACACGATGGTCCACAAAGTCAGCGCCTTCCTCTCAGTCTACCCTGCTAACCTACTTTCTCCAAGCGTTGGACTCTCTCACATGATCTCACCGCCACAAGCTCCTCGAGCAGCAGCGGAGGGGGCGCGCGCGCTCGGCGCGCGCCCGGGGACGAGCTTAAGGTGGCAGTGGTTGTTGAGAGGAGAGGCCGCGGGGGCGCGCGCAAGGCATCCTGTCAACGTCCATGCCAAAAGGCGATTAGATAAGTTGTTTAAGAATCGCTGAGTTAATTATAGTTGTGTTATGAGGGCTTTTTATTTGCACCTGTTGCTGCTCATAAATTTTTATGTAATGTTGTGCTGCAAGTCACCAGAGGTGGGTAAAGTAGCCAAGAATTGTTTTCAAATAAAAGAACTGTTAATTAAGACTGCAGTGTATGACTCAAGTGAAATGTTGTCCTCCAAATGATGACTTTAGATGTCAGTTAATTTTTTTTGTGAATACACTACTCAAGTAACTGGTGAGTTATTTCTGATTTAATTACGTAAAAAAACGCGCATCGGCAATATTTAAATAATTAGACAGAAATCTAAAATAGTAAAATGCCATATTTAAATATTGCCAATTAATGTCACCTCAAAGCAATAATGATACAAAATGAAGTATAAGTCAAATTCAGGCACAATAAATATGGTTGAAATTGTCTTGAATATTTATATATAATCATATGCACTTTGATTGTATTGAACTTTGACAGCTGGCTTCACTCACATTTATCATTTGTTTCATTACTTCAAAAAAAACCTCAACTTAACTTCTGACAACGTACGTCTTTGTCTTCAGGGCTATGCATATACTGTATTGCGGCTTTGTTTACCTTCCTGCTCCTTTTTAAATGCCGACAGCCATTTCTCCAGTGATGAACAGATCGCTTGGGTTGGTCCAACTGCAAGTTGAATTTCTGTAGTTGATCTGCTGGTGTTATTCCACACATCTTCACATTTTACATATGGAGACCGAAATGGTTTCATGTATGTTTTCTGAGGTTTGAAGCGGAGATCTTGCAAGATGAAATGTTGACATTTTTAGGCAGGCACAAAGGATGGTACCCGGCATAGCCGTACTTTATCGTAGTCCATCAATTTCCTCTTGCGCTTTAACAGAATACTTGACTCTTAATTTCAGACCCAGAGGGATCCATATCTCAGAGTAAAAGAAAGGCGGGAGAAAATTATGAAATGAATCTCTTAGGATGGTGTCGTGCAATCAACGAAAATGACATAAAAATCATCAACATACAGTCAACATTCAGATTATTCAATTTTGCACGTGCACCACGGCCAGTGAGTATATTTGCGTGTGCTCTGGATTATGAGAGTACTGCACAAATTGCTAACTGGAGGATGCCAGCCAGGCATCTAGGGAACAATGTGGAAACTATTGAACAACTACCGAATTGCCATTGGGAATTCTGCAATCAAGTCAAACGTCCAAAATATGTGTACAATTCCCCAAGTTTTAATTCATCTATTTGACACGAATGAATTCTGTCAGCACAGGAAGGTCGCATCATGTGGGTTTTCCCCGCAATAATTGTTCACAGAATGTCAATGTATGCTCCATGGAGAGCTTTCGGAGTTTGCACCCAGTGACCTTGTGGAGTTTTCTGCTCGGTTCCTGTTTTGCTTCATTTCTGAATGCGTCATGATTTTTTCAATTCATGGTATACCGGAGCATTTTGCACGACAGTCGTCAAGCGCAGATGGGTGGTGTGGAGCGCTGCCGGCGCAACAGATAATAATGACTTCTTTTTTTGTCTTTTTTTTTTCCATTTCAATCACGCACATTGAATTCCAATGGAATGGTATTATAAACATGTGCGTAAGACAGACGCCCCCGTAGTGGTGAGGAGTGTGTGTGTGTGTGTGTGTGTGGGGGGGGGGGGTTATGATGCAATGCTCTGGCAGCAGTGTTATGAAACAGCATGAAGGCAGAGATTACTCAAACTAGGTTAGTAGAGCAGCGGCAGTCATGGCTTCTTTGTCTCTCTCTCTCTCTCTCTCTCTCTCTCTCTCTCTCTCTCTCTCTCTCTCTCCCTCTCTCACACACACACACACACACACACACACACACACACACACACACACACACACATACTGACACATGCATGGCAGCAGGCACACACATTCATTCCCCTTTGAGTAATCCTTTTCATCCTTTCACTCCACAGCTAATTTGTCGCATATTTTCATTCTCCAACGTGTGTGCTAGTCACCGCTGCTCAAGTCTGTGCTGCAGTTTCCCCCCCCCCCCGTTTTAAACGTTTGCCACTTTCTCCTTCCTCTCGCCCCGCACTCACAACTCCTCTAAAGCCCCTCTGTTCTATGTCTCCCTTGACAACAGCAGTGACACTTTGACCTTAGCGCTTATGTAACCGCTGTGCAGATTGGTTAGACAGACATAGAGAGAGACAGAGAGAGAGAGGATGAGGTGGCTTTTGCAAGGCAGACATTTTGTTGCCCGATGAGAAAGTAAGGTGGAACAAGAGCCAAGAAAGGAGAAGAGCTCAGAGGTAGAATCGCTTTGGGAGGGTGCCGGCGGGTTGTATTAGCAAGAGGCCAGCATGGATGGGGGAGGACGGTGAAAATACAAACATGAATGAGTGTTCAACATCATGTCTTGTCACAACAAACAGATCTGCATACAAACACATCGCCAATGAAAATCGAATGTGAGAGTTCCAGTGCAGGCGCAAATGAGGGTGGGCAGGCTCTGTCACACCAAGAGGAATGTGTGGGCACCCCCGGTCCGGGGGAGCCTGGCCAGGAGGAAACCACGCAATACCCGGGTGATCCGCCATCCCCACTGAAATGATCCGACTGGCTTCTATTCCCAGGACAGCAAGAGGTTCCCCACCCAACACCTGGGCCCACTGTACGAGCCAGCTATGTTTATGCTAATTTTAACAAATCAGATCTACCGGTGTGTCGTACATACTGCAAAGTTCATTTTTAAAACACCTTGGTTCAAATCATTAGAATATCAGGCCAGCAGTTGAGTTGTCATGCAAACAGTCTTGTTCTTTGTCGTGTAGACGTCTCCTTGAGCCTTGTGACTCTGCGGAATCAAATTTAAAAGCCTTGCTCACATCAAAGTGACTTTGTGGGGATGATGGTTGGATTGTAACTGATTGGCTGCGCATGATTTGAGATGGGGGGGGGCGGCATGGCCCATCTCGTTGCCTTAGTCGCATCAACTCCGGACATTGGATTGTAACTGATTTGCTTCGGATGATTTGAGATGGGGGGGGGGGGCGGCATGGCCCATCTCGTTGCCTTAGTCGCATCAACTCCGTACATTCCGGACTCGCTTCTCCCACGCTGCGCCGCAAAGCTTTCACATGTACGAATATGCCGGGTTTATGAAAAGCGCATCTATTTGAAACAACAATATTCACAGCGACATGTTTAGTCCTTCGCTTGCTGTGGCGCTCACGTTCACAAAAGCTGACACTGGCATGTAAACAGGGAGCGGACTGTGTCAGATTATGTCAAAAGTCCGTCCTGCCCTGTGCTGTAATCCTCGTTTTTGTCATTTTCTAAATCTCCTCGTTTTCTCCTCTCTGAAGGTGCTGTTAACTTTTAAACATTCCCCTTCCTGCCTACTGCGGTTGTGGTCTTTGCTCTGTCACTAGGTCAGTGTGTCACTCACCGCACCTATGTTTTATTTGGTCCTTCTTTTATAGCTTTTACAAATCATTGTACTGTTTATCTCCACATACTTTTGTCATCTTCTCTTGTCAGGCAGTGTGCAGCTTCAGTGTGTGATCAAAAGCCTGCACTGTATAAATAAAATTGGAGTTGAGGCACAGGTCAATAGGTCCAGATTATCTCATTGAGCAAATACACCCCCACTCCAAATAAGATGGATCGCTGGGAGGAGAGCAAACATATAAATTATATTTTTATATTGTCCTTGACCTGATTTTCCGGCGCATGCTTTACATGTCAAGCCAATATTGCGGATGAGTCTCTCCATTTTCATTTGCCTCTGACTTTGGTTAACATACTTCCTTCATCACATTGCTTTTTGTTAGAGTCCCTGTAAAGTAAAAATAAATGTCACAAATTTGATGTACTGCAGAGAGAAGTGTTGTCACCAACACTGCCAAAATTGAATCCCCACGTACCGATGTAAGATGAGGCTTTAAAATTTTGAAAATACAAGCCAATCTCTCTGCTCTCACACACTGTGCATGAAAAAATGGACGCTACTTTCTTGTGCCTGCACATAAATAAATATGTTTGAGCAGCTTTTTCACGCCACAGCAACGAGGCACTCTAAAGCGTTCGCACCGGATTAAAACACTGATCTATATGATGGCTGTCATGCTGGACTTTGTTTTTCTCCCCTTCCTCGTTCTCGGGTTTTTCTCTGTGCGACGCGAGTGTCACGCCATTGGACCCGTCCGAAGGGAAGATGCGTTTTTGGTCTGTAAGCATAGCTAGCTAACAGTACGTCACAATCGTGCCGGATAACTGCTGATGGGAACAAAGGCGCTTAAGTTCTTATATAATGGGGTAGCGGTGACATTAACCAGATAGCAAAGTGCGTCATTAGCTCCACCCCCTGAAAAACTGAAATGGTGAAAAACAGATTAATGCTACATGTCCACACTTGAGTACTACAAAGTCCTCAGTCATTGAACGATTTGCCTCCAAACATGTGTAATCTATTTAGAATCAATCTCTGAATTCCCTTTTCAGGGTCTTTCATGAACATTTAGTTCATCGCTGTTGAAATGAACAGCACTTGTGATGACGTACTCCCTTCGAAATCCGTACTCGTGGCCACGGTTCTCTTTCTGTTCCATTCGCGATGCTTCACGCAGACAGCGTTGCACACATGTACATTTCCGCAGTATGCCCAGACATGTCTCGACAACCGCAGCCATCGACATATTTCTACCTTTGTCACTCGGTCCATCTCTGGTTTTGTTCCTTTTCCACTCCCACATTCACTTGAATAGCAAGGCCGTGGCTTGTGTTGACACAGCGATGGTGCCTAAGCCTCGAAATGAGGTAATACATTAACTGAAAATGAAATGTGCCTGAGCGATTGGAGTCCCTATCCGCTCATAATGCACTGATATGAGGTCAAGCTGTTTTTCCTGTGTGTACACAAGCTCAGATGCAAATATATGCCATGCAAATAAGTGCGTATAAGTGGGTTTCCGTGGCAACCGGACTGTTTTCATCCCTGGTGTGTTTCAGTGTGCTTTGCTATGTGAAACTGACCCAGTTACACCCCGTAGTGAGTGTCACCCCCCTCCCCCCTTCCCCGCCCCTTCCGTGCACATCGACGCTGTTGTGATATTTGTTTGTATTTTGTATCCAAGGCCATCGAGTGTAGCGAGGTGGAAACAAGAAGTCCAGTATCTTGCAGATTTCCCCCCCCCAAGGAAATACTTTCTGCTTCCTTCATGTTTAGCCCAATGACCTACATCCTTCTGGAGCCTTTCTGCGCCGTCCATACTGTCTGCTGGCCAATTCAACACCCCTTTATCATATTTCTTTTATCCGCCCTCATGCTCTCTTGACTCCCTACGTCATTTTAATTTCCTTCAGGGCCAGAGTAGTATGTTTGTTTAAGCCTCTGCAGCCCTACATTATCTAATCATGGAAGACTGGAGCCACTGGATGAGTCTTTTGAAACGATGACGCCGTTTTCGTGCATGAATCACCCGTTTTGAACCGCATATATTTCTCCATACATTTGGGTTTTTTTTTTTCCGTCAAACTTGCGCTTCGTCAGGTTAATCGCATTCACCGCCCACGGCTTTTGTTCGTCATTGGAGAAATCTTGCACGCAGCACCCTAGATTTGGTGTTAATCCACACAGAAACACTGCATTTGAGAATCAGGCATGGGTGAGATTTGATTAGGTCAGTTCCTGTGCAATCAGCCCAGATGACTCATAGCGGCGCAGGCCTTCGCAGAGACATCTAGTGTCGGCGCTGAGATACCGCAGGGCGGCCTTATGTAATAGTTGGAGTTTGCTCCAGATCGTGCATATTGTATGACTCTCAGCCCTTTTTGATCAGAGGACCGCAGGGACACATGACAAGTCACAAGTCACAAGCTGTTATGCAGTTGAAAAACTGCAGATGAATGCAGTACACGGTGTCATTATTTCGTTTGTTTTTCTTCTTTTTATTCTCGTTCAAATGAAAAGGTTGTACAGTTGGATTGCATGCTACAAACTACAACACCTTTGGACCTTTTTTGGCCATAAGAAAGATACAAAAGATATGATCCCTGCATGTTAAAGTGGCAAGCCATGATACTTTGGTACCAACGCTATTATCTGTACACGTTTCAAGTCATTTTCTCCAACTGGATTTTTCAGATTGACAAATGCAGACTGAACCCCACCCCCATAGATGAACAAATATTATGCAATCCACCACTGGATTTAAGAATGAAACTATCAAATGAATGTGTCGCTGACTCGTCTAACCCGAATACTCAAATAGGCCTTTGTCAAGTGGACGCCTGCTGATGCTAATAAGACAGAAAGAAATGGTCTGCGTGGAAAGTGTCTCTGGAGAGGGGGGGGGGGGGGGGAGGAGCGAGAGGGTGGTCAGGGGCTCCGGGAGGGGACAGATGGGTGTGTCTTCACTGACCTAGTTACAGCAATAGAACACCCCCGCTCCAACTCACCCCTCCTCCAGCCCCCACCATCCACCATCTCTGCCTGACGTGTAAAGGGCACTTTCAAACAGTACAGGCAGCCAGGAATGGAAATCAGGCAGAAGCAGACCGAGGGGGTAAACTGGAGATGAGCGGAAGGATGCAACACAATTAAAGGTCGACCGAGACAAGCAGACAAATATATCCACAATGAAGTACAAGATCTGCACAGAGATGGGAAATATCTTTACACAAACAGGAAGAGCCTCCAGCGGCTTTCAGCAAATTAATAAAGACGGGCTGCATTTGTAATATTAAACCTCCACACATCCTGTGGAATATTGGATTTTTTTTTTTTTTATTCTTCATTTGGGGGGGAAATTACATCTTCGCAGCGTAAAGCAGCTTTTAATAAAATCAGAAATGCTATAACGGCACAAAATACAGGCTATGATTACTCATAAACATGATCTAATCTCATATTTCCTGTGCTTCTTATAGAGCAAAGCTTGAATTTCGTGGCCGTTGCAGCGTAGACGACGCAATGTCTACGGGGTTAAGTAGGCAGAATTAACGACAGACTTCACGGTATATTTTACCTCCCTGGCTCCTCACTGTTTGAATAACTTTTTGACCCCTCCGCCTTCAAGTTCAATTACAACAAGTGAAGACAGAGAAAGACTGAAGGGTCAAGTATCGTAAACGTTCTTGACACACACACACAAACACAAAAACACATATATGCCATATCAGTTTACAAATACTTGTAATGAGCTGAAAGTTAAAGGCGGGAGAGGGGGGGTTGCAAAAAAAATCTGTTTTTGTTATTTTTCTTAAAACTCTCAATATAACCTGGCAGTAGTACACTAGTGATATGATTAGTGAGAAAAAACAATGGTGGACATTGGAGTTGAGGGACCTTCACCCCAGGCAGCCACCGGGATTCAGAAGTGACATGGAAAGATTTTTCCGTGACAGTTAAATGACCTCTTTTTGATTTATAAGTGATTATACATTGTCCAAATGATAGAATTTCATACAGCTGACATTCAGGGTCGGATTCACCGAAAGACTGAGTGGCTTTGGCGTGGCGCTAACCAGTAAAAATGGAGTAAACATGAAACAGAAATGAGTCGTGAACTGGGATGCCAAGCAGAATGTGTCTTGCTGCGCATATTGAAATGACGTAATCTGCATATATTTGGCGGAGAAATTGCCCGCCTCGATGCAAACGAGCCTCATTGATAAACGTCTAATTGACTAACGCCAGCGCTAATAGCCACACGCAGTTTGAGTGACGCAAATCGCGGCAAGAAAATGATGGGTTGAAAATGGCGCGACCCAGTTGAAAACCTCTCAGCGAGTGGCCGCGTTGCCAAAGCAAATATACCAAATTACACAGGTGCAAACAAGTGAAAACAGGTGCAAATTTGGCCCTCGATTTTATAGTAACAGTCCATTTTTAATAAGTCGTGCGACAAACATCACAGCCGTGGCTAACGCTAGCTTGTTTGCAGTTGGCTTAGCGTTGCTTGCACTTCTATTTAATTGCAGCTGGCTGTGGCATTCTCTTTGAATTTGAGACTCGCGTTCATGCACTTTAAGGGCGTGACTTTTGTCAAAGGCCTGAGAAGGGGGGAGACGAGTGTCGTGAAGTGAGCGTACGTTCAACTCTCGCTAGCAGTTTTAACACTGCCAACTGCCCCTTTAAGGGGCAATTCAATTCTGCAAAACTTTCTGCTCCGTCATCTGTTTTCATCGCATGCATTCTAAACTATTCTCTATTGCCTGCCAAAGACCTTCCCCTGGATTTTTTTTTTTTCTTCAGTCTCCAAATTTCCACCCTCACTATTCTTGTGGGCCTTGCCATTTGGCAGGCAATCTTTTCCCTTCTTTGCTTAACAACAAGCATTTTCATGTGGAAGAAAATCTCTCGTGGCAGGAAGCCATGACCGGCCTGATGCTTCTTTAAAGTATTTACTGCTGTGTCTACAGCAATGTTTCTTACAGATGGGCTCCAGTATTGCCCCACAAAAATCTAGCCATACTTTTCTTCATCCGTGGCCTGAGGCTATAAGCAGGTTTACTTTACAAGGAACACCAGTCCATCCATTTTATATTCCACTCATCCTCATTGTGGGTCACGGATGAAATGGAGCCTTTTTCCCAGCTGACTTGGCGGCCGTAAACATCCTGGATGCAGTGTCCTGTCTCTTTGCCATACTCGTTGCATAGTTTCTCCTATAAACACACGAATACGACAATATTTTGCTTGGCATATAAGAATCATCTTGTCAGTGACTGAACCACATTGAGAGGCGAAAACAGGCTTCAGGGAGACAAGTTCTTTCCCAATTTGTGTTGATACACTGACATACGATTCCAGAGGGAAATATTCATTTTGAAATCATCAGTTGTGTGATTTTATTTTATTTTTCCTTCCCTGTGAAAAGAACCAATTGCTGACACAGTTCTCCTCACAATCGTAAGTGTTTTTTTTGGACTTGGTGCTTGCCTTTCTGAGAAGATTTACTTTGTTGCACCCTTCCTTGTAAATGTGGCATTGATACACATGCAATAAAAAATAAAATCTATTAATCGCCACACACGCCCAAGGTAAATAACCTGTGATCGCATCTCATTGATTGCAGGTGTCCAAAGTCCATCGCGCTGGCCATTTGCATTCATTGCACATTTTTTTTTTTTTTTTTTAGTAGCCTGTGCATGCAAACTCCACACACGAAGGCCGGAGCCGGAATCAAACCCTGCACCTTTTCACTGTGAGGCCGACGCGCTAACCAGTCGCCCAATGTACCGCCCAAACTCCAAATATTGAAAATGACATATTTTTAAAAAAGCAAAAAACCGTGATGATTTCATCATAATTATTGATGAAATTTGTAGTGGGCCGTTCGGGCCAGCGTCAGCATACGCCCGACACAGTGATGTAGTTGTCACAGGCCACCAGGCCACTTTAAATGTCGGACCCTGCATGCTGAAGATAGCGGTGTGGGGTTGCGGTCTGCAATTAATCGCCAGTGCATGTCGCCTTCCTTGTAGACCTTCATTCGAAAAATAAGGAAATGAAGTCATTGTGGCAGAGCTTCGCATGACACGTCTTTGAGGCGTTGACTCATGCTGGTGCAGCTGCATTGAAATGAATTCAGCTAATGTGGTAAGGCAATTTTTTTTTTATTGGTTGAAAGGCGAAAATGAAATGGTAGCCTTTAAGACCTGTTCTACCGAAGCTTTTGTTAAATAAATAAATAAATGAATAAATAAAACGTCAGCTGCATACTACGGACGGGTGTTTTTAGTATTTTGGTTTCCTTTTTTTACTCGAAAGGGGATCATCATGGAAATAAGTACAGTATCAGCAGCAACACCATTATTACCAACAATGCTAATAATAGCAGCGCGTTGAGGGAAGTGTATGTTACTGTTTGCCTCACTGTCAGGGGATTTGGGTTTGAGTCTCTGTTGAAATAGTGTGTCTGTGTTTCCCTGTGCGGAGTTGCCATCAGTATTCACACTTTCCGTCAAAGGACAGGTATTTGTGTCAAAGAAAGACTCGTCATTAATGCTCCGTGATCAACGCTTTTCCATGTTGTCCCCTTTTTTTTCTGCCTTGGAAGAATTCTCAGAGTTCAGTCACTCAGTCAGTCCAGATCTCAACTCTGTTTGACTGCACCGCTCGCTCTATTTTTGTCTTGAAGTCTAATCAGAATGTCCACATGTGGGCCCAGTTGTAGAAAGTAAAAAGTTGTCAAGTACAGTACGGCTATCTAAAACATCGACCTTTATAAATTAACAAAGCGTTTGTACTTTGTTGCTTCGCACCGCCGTCGACATTTTTAATCATTCCATTTCATCCGAGCATTGTTTAGGTCGTGTTGTGCGCTACTTCCACTTCCCCTCGACTTATTTTCGGCACTGTTTTACAGACAGGCACGTGCGGCATCACCACCGCTCGCTGCAAAGTGGACAGCCTTTTGGGCTTTGCTTACAGCGTTGTGTTTGTCCTGGGCTCTCTTGTTAATACCGCGGCCCTGCGAGCTTTCATCATGCGACGGGCCGCCTGGACAGACACCCACATCTACATGTTCAACCTGGTGCTCGCCGACTCCGCCCTGCTCATCTGCATTCCCTTTCGGATCTACCATTCTTTCTTTTGCCTCGACAAGACTCTGTTGTGCACCTTTCTGATTTACATCCATTTCATCAACATGTACTCGAGCATCCTGACCACGACGGCCATCAGCGTCCACCGCTACTTGGCTGTCAGGTTCCCGTTGTGGGTGAGGTCTTGGAGAAGGAAGAAGGAGACGGCCTTTGCCGCGTGCGTCCTCATTTGGCTCTCTCTGCTGACGATGGCCGCCGTATTCCGACAGGAGAATCATCCTCGCAATCTGTGGACGTGCTTTGAGAGATGTAAAGATCAACCTTTGCATTTCAAATTTGTCACCATTCTCTTCTTTCTCGGCTTCTTCGGCCCTCTTCTGATCATTGCGTTTTGTTCCGGTCGGATTATCGGTATTTTGTTAAAGGCAGATGGCGAGCCATCCCCGCTGCAAAGAAGCATTGTTGGCATAGTAACAGCAAACATGGCGGTGTTCATCGTCTGCTACACACCAATCCACGTTGGCTTTGTGGTGAACTATTTCTACTACGCACCTGCAAACTGGACGTCGCTCTACCTCCCCGCACATTCATATTTACGTGTCTCCGAGTGGATTTCCTCCACAAACTGCTGCCTGGATTCAATTAGCTATTATTTCTTGTTGAAAAAGTTGTAGCAGTCAGTCAGTGGAAGAAGAGTTGAGATAACGTGTTTGACTGTCGCTGGATTTCATGTACTGTACTGCTTTTCTCTATTTTGGAGACGTTATCAAATCGCGGTTGAAAAGTTGGCATCAGTTTGGTGGGTGTGTTGCCCATAATTAGGACCAGTCCAGAAGTGGAAGTAGTTGGAGCCTTTGGCCTTCATACACCATAACAATGGATTTGATAAGAAGCGCAAGATCCTGCGCATTCAGTGCGGCTTTCTTTTAAGATGCTTCACAAATACGATGATATTTTCCCTTTAGGTATAGTCGTCATTTAACTTCTAAACATTAGTAATATTTCCACGATTAAACATTTCATTTTACTCACTCTCTCTTGGGTTTGTTGTTATCCAGCGTCTGTGCAGACAGCATGTAGCGCCCTCTTGCGTTGAAGAAAGTAACTGCAGACCCAGAGAAATCAGCTGCCTCTGAACTGATGTTTTAGCCACCGAGATTAAGATACACTGATTATTACTGTCATGACATTATTGTTTAAAAAACGTCAAGATGTACAAATAGAATGCCGGGGTGGCATTTAAAGATAAGACACTTCACATGTAGGTGATGTGCGCATTCGGCACCAACTGCAACACAATAGCAGTACATGATATATTTACATTTAATAGCAGTACTCCAAAGATTGATGGTTATTACCACAGAAGTATTTGAACAAATGCAAAAACTCAGAAGGCAGGCAAATGTTCTCAGTTCTGGCTGAGATCAGGCCCGCATCTCTACTCATAACAACAGGAAAGGGCCGAAGTCAGCGTTCAGCCAAAGTCACAGAGATACTTTACATCCATCTTATTCACAGCGTTGGCACAGAAGAAGAAATCAAAGCAAATCAAATAAAACCTTCACACTTCAATCACACCTCTCTGTCTTGGGAAAGAACCCTCAATCCCCCAAAACCAAACAAGTGCGCCTACGAGGTGATTGTTAACATTATTTACAATTGTTACAATTTTGGAATTGCAAAAAAAAACAAAACAAAAAAAAGTCTTTGTGCTTATCTCTTACTGCACAGCATAATGCCAATAAAAAACATTTTCTCTCCCAGCCGGGATGCAAACAAATATCTTTAAAATCCTTCAATCCGGCAGTTGATAGGCAAACAGAGTGACAACCACGAAACTAAAAAAAAAAAAGCAAAACAACCCCCAACCCCCCAAAACTGATGACAGATATGACACCAAACATGACATGCCATAGTCCCTCACAGCCTTTCAGTCCATTTACATTTCGCATCCACAGTTTGTGTCGTGTTCATCGCATGGGTAATGATAAAGCGCATTGAGAAAGTGTCTGTACACATATTTACAGTTTTCAACGCCGTCGCTCGCATCGCTGCGGATGCGCGTCAACAGCACAAGCCCACGAGGAACAGAAAAACATTCAGCGTGTAAGGTCAAAGGCTTATATCTCACGTAGCATACTGCAATAAGTACGATTTCAGTCAGCGGTCGCTGCGCCGCTGACTAAAATGGTCATCATGGCACTTAACACAACTTTTTTTTTTTTTGCTTTTGTAAACAGGCATCAGTAAAACACTGTCAAGGAGATTTTGGCACAGAGATTAACTGAAACGACACTAGCAAAGAGAGTGTGTTGGTGATACTGCATTCTACGGCCAACTTAAAATCCTCCTGTCCTGAGGTTTACGTCACTGCGAATGAAAAATTTTTCAGAAATAAAGGGAACACTTGAACTGATACATCCCAGAGCTCACTGAGTGATTACATCGTGTCATTTGTTGAAAACAAAATGACCTAACTAACCCCACAACATGAACCTTCTGAAAACTGGATTTAGAATCCTGCTCCAAAAGAAAAACAAAAGGAAAAATGTGATCACCGTCTCATCCCATTTTAGTAAATTTCCTCCAGACAACTCCAAATGTGGCTGTGTCGTGTTTATATGTCTGGGAATGTTCCTGATGAGATGACTGATGATTTCCTTTGGGATTTCCCGACCAGATTCGTGGAAGCTCCTGGACAGTCTGCGATGAGACGCGAATGTGATACTGGACCTTATGTCCCAAAATTACTCGATTGGAATCAGGCTTAGGGAACGGTCGGTGAGAGGCCAAATTGCTATTGACACTTTAAACAGGTTGGTTGATTAGGTCCTTCCCACTTCTACTGCGGTGCCGGCCTGTCTTCTGATATCTCCTCCATGCTTTTGACGCAGCGCGTTGAACTACTCGAGCTTCCTCTGTGGGCTGCTCGTGTTCCCACTCGTGATGGAGAAAAAGAACGCAGCACCCGTAAAAGCATCCCTTGAAGTCTCTTCTTCCCACACGTTGTCTGTCCCATTTTGCGCCGCAGCAGTTGAGACGATTATGCGTTCCGTTTATTTATTTATTTATTTATTTAAATGCAGTGTGTTTTGTAAGGATCCGGTAAAATAAATCACAACCTAGCGATTTGATCCGAACTGAAAATTGTACGCCGTGGGGTTGGGAGTGGGGGTGGGGGGGTGGGGGGGGTATTATGGCTGAATTGCAGCTTTGGTGTACTTGACAAACAGGCAGGTGAGTATTTTTCTTATTTTACATTCGTAGTAATGCTGACACGGCTTCATTTGTTTGCATTCACGCGCTAACTGAACCTTACTATGTACACGTACGTATAAAGCATATTATCGGCGCGCACATTGAGGTCACCCAAAGTAAATCGGCTTTAACAAGGCATTCTTATGACAACTTTTGTCTTATTTCGTCTTCATCGTTTTTTGTTGTTTTTTTTTTTTTTTTTTTTTGTACAGCATCCGTCTCAGTGCTCCACTGATATAAATGCTGACTCTCTTTCATGGGACTCGACACTTTGATGGTATAGAATTTATGGCCCCATTTGCCTGCTGGGGGCATTTCCATTACCCCTTTCGGCATTGGAGTTTCCATCACTGCCTGTCACTTTGTTCTGCATCACGTCTGCGAGACCTTGAACCTCTGTTGGAGTTCCGGGGAAAAGTTTACCAATTCGAGCTGGGCTGTGTTCGGTAATGTGGCATGAATGACGATGTGATGTGTGCAAGAAGACGAGGCATTCCCCAATCACGTCGAGGATTTCGTCTGGTGTTCTGCTCAGTCCGGTGTTTTGCTGTAAAAACCTTTCCAAGACATCCTTGCGGAATTATTGGTCATTAAGTAGTACATGGAGCGGAGGGGGATGAAAAGAGCAACGGGCGACCGAGAACGGCGACAACATCATTACACGGAGCGTGCGACTGGCAGGAAATAAGTGCTGACATTTCACTTCTGCTCTCCTCTTTCCAAAGAATTATGATCCCGCATCGCTACGCCGCGCTGCCCCGTATACACCGAACACTAAATAACCACAGTCGGGACTTACATGTCGAAGTGCAGCGAAAGAGGAAGCGGGTGCAGCTTTGGCTTCCTGTTTAGAGTCGGCGACAACTTCAGTTTTTGACTTCTGATGAGTCACCCAAAGCCCAACATGTCCGGGCAAGGTGTGCAATGCAAAATGCCGAGTTGGCGGTCAGCGCGGACAGGTGGAGAACACCGAATGCAGTGGAGTGGAGAGTTTGTCCTCTTCAGAATTCATAGTGGTGGCCCATGTAAGGTGGACTGATTTTCAAATGTGTCCGGATTTTTTCCGTCTTCTCGTTCGTTGTCAGAGCAAAACTTGTTACAGCTAAGTTCTGCAAACATAAGGTGGACTGATTTTCAAATGTGTCCGGATTTTTTTCCGTCTTCTCGTTCGTGGTCTGAGCAAAACTTGTTACGGCCAAGTTCTGCAAACACCGGATTTTTTCCGTCTTCTCGTTCGTTGTCAGAGCAAAACTTGTTACAGCTAAGTTCTGCAAACACGAATTCATTTCATGATCGGCACATCTGCTGAGGTCTTTTAGTTGAATGTTTTCATGTTTTTGTCATGTGATGAGATAAATATTGATTGTGAACTGCTTTCGATAACATATGTGGCAGAATTGCGTGCTTTTACATTGTGTCTTTGTCTCATCTTGATATTTTCTCTCATTTGAGACCTGACAGTGGTGGTATTAAGAGGTGGATGAAGTTCCCAAGTACCAAATGCCCGCCACACCCACTGATTTGTGCACTGCGGCACAGTCAAAGCTGACCCAAACAAAGATGGAAATACAGCCCAAAATGTGTGTGGGTACAAGACCTTTTTCCACTTAGTCTTGCTGCGAGGCAAATAGCATCCCAGGATTTGTTAGTTTGCTTCCCTTGCATGCACAGCAGCTTCCAAGTGCCTTCCTTTTTTTTTTTTTTCTTCTTGTGCCCTCTGCCTGCAGACCTGGAGAGTGTTTGGCAGGCGAGGCAGCTCTGCAGTGCAAACACAGCAACAACCTCCGTCCATATGACCAATTAGTGCGAGCCAGCAAAAGATTGGCAGGCGCACTAGCCAGTGGTAACAAGAGCCTCACCTCTGGGGAGGGGGGTCGGGGATGGGGGGCGGTTGCCTGAGACAGAGGGCTTGAATGACAATGAACGAAAAAGATCCAGCGACGAGAAGGGTGTGGGGGGGGGGGGGGTATCAGCTCAGGCTCAAGACAAGTCAATGGAACGATGCCCGTGCAGGCCCTTTATTTCCTCAGCAGTCAGTGGCCAGCCTGAGTCCTGTCATTGCAGTTCTTCTTACTCATCAGCTGGCTGAGGTCCATCAGCTCCCCCAGCTCCCCTCGCTCCAAAGCCCCCCTCAGGAGGGCCCTGGTGAGAGCCGGGGTGTGCTGTTGGGACATGTACGTCTGACCGCTGTGGGCAGGCATCGAGGGAGGGGGCAAGGGGACGGGCACCACGGCGTGGCTGCTGAGGATGTAGCCTTCCGGGGCCGGCCAGCGCAAAGGCAGAGGCTCGCCGCACTCCGCCGGTGCGCTGGGCGCCGAGACTACCCTCCGACGCTCGGGCGAGTCCTGGGGCGTCATGGGGTACACGTATTCCCCCGCGGACTTCCTCAAGGGGCCTTTGGGTGTCCCCTTTCCTCCTTTCTCCTGCCTGCTCAAGCAAACGTAATGCTGTCGGGGGGCGTCGCTCCCTCGGCCCTCGCAGCCGTGCCGGCTGCCTCCCCCCTGTTGGAACAGTCTGGTGGTCAGATAAACCGAGGGGGGCATTCGACAGGGGGAGCCCAAACCCACGGAACCTCCCCCCAAGTAGGTCTGGCTGGTGTCCCATCCCCCGGAGTTGGAGTCGGACAGGCGCAGGCCTCTTCGTTTCTGCTGGGGCGTGTGCTCCGGGGTGGGGAGGAAACCGGGGTCGAGCTCCCCGGATTTGACCCAACCGTTGGGCATCACAAAGAGGGTCTCCCCGCCCTGAGTGCAGGTGCGCTCTCCGCCCCCCTGCCGCGTCACGCTGAGCACAGAGCCTCCCATTCCGCCGGCGTTACTTAATAGGCCCCTTTCTCGCCGCTGGATGGACGACTGAGTGGTGTTGCCATGGCGACGGTTGGTGGGCTTGTGGGCCATGATCCAGCAGACGGCAAAGCCTGAGAGCGCCGCCCCGATTGTGAACGCCGACACCGCCGAAGCCACCAGGAGATTGAGCGAGACGAGACTCTCGGGTTCGATGAGGAGACTCTGCTGCAGGATACCTAACGCGGGAGAAATATTTCTTAGGATGACAAATATAAGGCAATGTTTCCCATCGTTTCTCGAGTCAAGGAACAAATTTTACATTGAAAAAAAAACAATCACACCGCACACTCGTAAATGAAAATGTCACGGATAATATATTGACTGGGTTTTTGGAGTCGCCAGCTGTCTCTTGGTCATTTTTTTGTCTTGTGTTGGAAGCCCAAATTTTGGTCCTGAGTGACCCTGAGCACGATAAGCAATGAGAAAATGGATAATAATGAGAATTCCAAGCTACCGGTCTGCAACGCGTACACAGGGAAACATTTTTCCTCTCCTTATGTAGCCGCTGAGCTTTAATTTACCATAAGAAATCAATACCTCTACTCCAAACTGCCATTAGGTTTCATTGTAGAACTATTAGGAGCGATGATGTATAAAACACAATAACTTTGCTCCAGTGCGGCCTTGGGGCTCTGCAGGCTCAAAAGGTTTCAGCGAAGCCTGCACTTGTCATCAAAGACACAGACAGACGCAGCACACAGACTCCGATTTTTCTTCTCTCCGCTCCTCATTCTTTCCATTGTGCAGCGTCGTCGGAGATTCTCTCCATACAACATAGCGTGACTTCAGTGTTTCCACCCGGCTCTAATCACTCCCATCTGCACCAATTGCAGTAAATACTCGTCTCTTGCTCGGGAGTCACCGTGCTATCAGTTTCACGGAAGTGGGGGTGAAAATGCTGCAGCCCACGTGTCAGATTGAAATGAAGCGAATGCGCTAGAAAGCTTGACAAAAGCTTCTTTAAACTTTTAAGTTCTGACCTAATGACACATGGCCCAACAAAAATTTAATCCTCTGTATAAGTTCTGACCTAATGACACATGGCCCAACAAAAAAGGGGAAACGCTTAATCCTCTGTCGAAACGGGTTTCTAGTTTCCACTGAGTGAATTCCAGAGCAGAGCTGCATAAGTCTCTCGCTTTCTCTCTCTCTCTGCCCTTGCTGCTCTTACAGTGACATGGGAGTGTCTCAACAGAAGTCAAAACGGTCTCCTGTTTTAAATTCAATCCCCCTTTTCACATTTCTGGAAAGAAAGAGCAAAAGTTTACATGCCGACAGGCTTCGCATTGATGTCGTTCCGCCGTGTGCGGTCTTGTGATGGCAGCTACATCTTTTTCACATCTTCCCTAATTAAACTGTCACACTGGTTCACTTCTGACCCAAAGCAAGTCAGATTGAACGAAAAACAAAAAAACAAAAACAAGCGGGGTGGCAAAAAAAAAAAAAGCAATCCCAGCGGTGCACGCCAATCATCTTTGACAAAGACATCACAAACATCAACAATTGGTGTCAAGGTTGAATGGATGTTGCTGAGCAGAGAGTGAAGGTGGTATAATACATGACATGACGTCGCGCACGTAACGATTTGAATTACAAAAACACGTCTTGAATACTTTCTGCGACAAAACAAATCCCAAAGAAACAAGCAGTGGGAGGATGCAATGAGGGATTGAGCCACTAGGCGGAGATTTCCATTTTCCAACTCCATACTGCAGTGGACAGTTTATCATGTTATCAGGTTACAGGGTGCATGAAAGGCTTATTTTCAGACACGATGAGTTTTCGGGGGTTTTTAAATCATTGTTCAGTCTTCATCCCTTAAAATCTGTTTTGGTGCAAAACGGTGACCACACAAACTCGCACGCGCAAGTGATCATGTCGCCGCCACCTACCATCACAGTCTCCTAATTGAGAGGTGGTGTTTCCGTATTCTACGTCTTGTTGAAAAGGAAGCCTGCAATTACAGAGGAATCACACATGAATACATATGAGATAAGTAGTCTGCATTTCACAAGACGGATAAAAAAGAAAAAATAATAAAAATCCTGCACCGTCCTGTACAATAACTCACTTAATCTTTCGTAAAAGAATATTACAAACAAAAACAGGATATGATGTACTATAATTCTTCGCACATCTGCTCCAAAGTGGACTATTTGGGGAGACTAATCAATGAAACAGTGTTCCCCGCATATTGATAGGTCGCTGGCGTTAATAGGATCTGCCGCTTATGCTCTCATTGATTTTCTCCTCAGCTCCCTGCCCACAAGGAGGTCAGATGTCACGGTCGGCTAAGCATGTAGTGACAGACAAGTTTTCAGAGAAAAATGATTGATGCAATTCATTTTTCTCGGCTGCGAGTGCTGATAACCTTGCTGAATAATATTTGAATAAACAGGTTTTTCCGGTGAGACTAAAAGAAGAAACGTTTGCATAGAACATCACAAAATCATTCAGTATATTCAAAAAGCGGCATGACTTTCAAATCGACGATCACTCAACAATCAGCCCTTGCAGGTTCTTTATGACGAGGAGCACAATATGTGGTTTCAACACAGGTTCATTTTAATCAAAATCCACGTTATTTGTTCAGCGGTGAGTTGGCGAGCCGGATTTATGCACTAATAAACATTTTAATCAAAATTCATGTTTTGGCTGTGCTGTGGGATCACTTCGTTAAAGCACTTCGCGAGTAGATAAATTTACTCCTCACGTAATTCCTCATTTCTCTCTTGTATCAACC